GAGGCTGTGCCGATTGCTGTGGGAAATATAATCCTAACTTGGGTTAGCGCCCCAGGAGAGGAAAGACATGGTGAAAAAGTGCAGCCAGTCACTGGAAAAAGTTTATGCTGCAGCTGGAATAGGCTATGGGTGTAAGCGTGCCAGTGATTTTTTTTTTAAGAAAACTTTTTCATGAAAAGGCTTTTGTTAGGCTGGATTTGTGGCATAAAACTCCTTTTAACTCCAGAGTGAAAAATGGTTTTGTTCATTGAAAAGGAATCTGGAAGTACCACTGAAGTAGGAAAAGTTGATGCTTAACGTAATAGTTGTGTCCACATTAACTGCTCTTTCAGAACAAAGGTTTACTGAATTGTAAACTCATGGCAGTTTCTAACCTTTCCAAATTCTAGGAAGAAACTGGTTCCTATTTGAAGAAATAAATTCTTGTGGAAATTTAATATCCTTGAAGCACTGAAGTGACCTTAATGTTGTTTAGTTCACTGTTTCGCTTTTTTCCAATCATGTGCTCCATCAGTGATCGTGCTGCTTGATGCTCCCTAAAATTGAAGCCCCTAGACTTTGTGGAGGTCTTGTTTAAAACTTCTCATCTTTTGAAAAACATTTTCCTTCGCCCTTTTCTTTCCTTTTCCAATCACTCTTTTTTCTTTCCTTTTCCAATCGCTGTTTCCCTTCTTTTCTGACCCCACCTTCCCTTTTCTCTGGCAGCTCCCTTCCCACCCCTCTTCCTCCCCAAGCCCACGAGACCTTTACCCCAGTCCTCTGCCAGTCCGCTTTGTCTGGTTTCCTACCCTTCCATTCACCCCCCCGCCCCCCACCCGCCCCACCTCAGCCTTTTATCAATTTCTCCCCCACCCATTCCCCTTTTCACCAGACCCTCCATCCCCTTTCTCTGCAGTTCTCCTCACTCTTCTCTGTGCCCGCCCTGCCCTTTTCTCCAGTCAGTCCCAACCTTTTTTTTTCATTACTACTTCATCCTTTTTGGTATCTCATCAACCACTCTCTCCTGTCACCCAAAGCCTGCCACCACTAACCCAGCTCTTTTCTCTGGCTTCCCCCACACATTTTCAATTGAGCTCTGTTTACTATTTTTCTGACTCACTCATAATTGTTTCTCTTTCTATCCTTTTTGTCATGCCTTTCTTTTCTTCTCTCCCTTGTTTCTTTGACAAATTGATCCTTTTCCTTCTATCTCAACCTAGAGCTTTCTTTCACTTTTCTATCTTTCTTCCATGCTATTTTTCTTTCTTTTATCTGTTCCGCATGTTCTTTTGTTTTCAGCTATTCTCCTACAGTGCAGTATCTCTATCTCTTCCCTTTTGTTTCCAATCTCCAGTAAGGAAGAAAGTGAATGCGACAGAGTAGGATCAATGCAGCGTGTGTATCTGACTGACAGAGGTTTCTTGCCAGATAAGGGCAGGAACACTTCGTCTCCACAATGTCATCTCATCGTTTCATTTCAGTGCCTGCATGTATAACAATATAGGCATTTTGGGTTAAAATCAAGATGCTCTGGACCGTTCAGGACTTGAGAGATTTTCCAACAAAAGGAGAAGTTGAATTGCAGCAAGATGCCATCTATTCATTAATTTGAATTATGACATTGTCCAGTTGAATGCTCCTTTTCATTAGAACGGGATGCAATTGTCTGTGAGCTATAAATGTTTAAATTAGGATTTATAAGTTTATGATGTGATAATTTAATAATAGACTTAACTGTATAAGATCTTTAAGCATATTGTTTGACCGGGATCTTAAAAAAGCTGACTTCCTTTCTCAAAGCTGTCCAAAACTAATGCTGCTTTTTAACCACTTGAATTATTTTAACATTTAGCATGGGGCCGAACTTCAGAACTTGGCCAAGAATTACAAATAGTAATCTGGTTGGCACTGGATTCTGCATGGCTTTGATTTTTCCTATGCACAAAGGAAACAAAATATTTATCAATAGCTGCAATAAACCTTAAAATTTACAATACATTTTGGTTGTATACTGCGTTTCTCAAAATATAGGGAGTGGTTGGGGGTAGTACGGAGGAACTTGGGGTTGGGAAATTTTTTGCATTTTTCCAGAGAATCATTCTGTCTGTGCAATTGGGAGGAACTGCACCAGTGAGTTAGTAACAACCAAATACCTTGTTCAGTACTGAGCTGCACAGAATTCAACCCCTGGTCTTTGCCACACATGACAACTGAACTCACCTGACATGGCAGAGGTAGATGGGGATGTTCTAATTGGTCACTGGGCTAGTGGAAGTTGGCAGAAGGGTTGATGGGGAGGTGTTGGTGGTTAAGAGGGAGGTGGGACAATGTCAGACTGCTGCTTTTCAGTGTCCATTGATGCTAATTGGGAAATGACCATGTGGTGGCTTGATCTGGATGGGATTGGTCTTGCTGTAAATCTGCTGAAATGTACTATGAATCCACACGCCAGCAAAACTGCCTTCCAAAGATGCAGGGATGAAAGTTGGGGGTTTAACTGCATAGCAAATGAGAGTTTGATGAGCTGTTATTGAGAATTTGATGTCAATAATAATGCATCTTACTACAAGTCGCTTCCTTCGGGGAAAGGGTGTAATGATCATCTTAAAATGTGTTTTAACCAGGTACCGAAGGATTTGTAATCAGTTTGTCATCATGAGCTTTGAATGTGCGTTTGAATCTTGAAAATGCACGACAAGCCTTCCATTTCATGCTTATGTCAGGGTTTCTACAAAATACTGAAGCAGTACAGCCAATGTGTAATCTCAGTACCTCAGTCCATTTAATTATTTTTGTTTCAGCAATTCAATCTAAACAAAAAGCAACGAAAACACTTAGCTGAAACATATTTTACACAAAACTGATTACACCTATAAAATGACCTGCTGACTTTAGATTAGATTTGGTAGAGGAGTGACTATATTTATTCTGCTGTGTGGATAATTAAGGAATGCTTTATGCTTCAATGCAGTAAATTCTCTGCAGTGCAAGTTGGATTCATTATACAGTGAAAGTGAATGGGCATTAGTTGAATCAATCGAAATTTTATACAACAGGAAATGATTGAATCTATTTCATCTTGTACAAAATAGAAGTGGGCTTTGCTACAGTTGGATCAGGAGGTATATGGAGTTGATGGCATATTGAACTTAATTATGACAAACTAATTTAGGCAGTTTGAAAGATAAAAGCACAATACTTGATGTGGTGTAGTATCATTTTCCAAAGCAATATGTTGAAAGACCAAGCTTGCCTTTCGCCTGTTGTCTTTTGCTGAGCTTGCCAATTGTAAACAGTTGTGCTTAAAGGAGAGACTTTCATTTGCATGGTGCTTTCCAAGATCTTTGGATATTTCGAAGTGTTTTACAGCCAATGAAATACTTTTGGAGTGCAGTCAGTGTTGTAATGTAGGAAACAAGGCAGCCAAATCTCCCACAATAGGCTTTCATAAATAGCAATATGTTCAAGATCAGATAATCAGCTTTGTGTTGTTGAATGAGTGGTAAATATTGACTCAGACACTGGGGATATCTTCCCTGCTGTTTTTCAAAATGGTATAAGCATATGAATTAGGAGGAGGTAAATGCTAATTTGCGCCACAAGCTTCCCCACCATTCAACAGGATCATTGATTTCCTAATTGTGGTAGGAATTCCACTTCCCAACTTTACCCCCTGTAGTCTTTCACACCCTTGACAATCAAGAATCTTTCTAACTCTGACTTATAAATATTAAAACACCCTGTCTTGGTAAGAGAATTGCATTGCCCTTTGAGTGAATAGAATTCTCATCTCCATCTTGAGTGGGAGATCCCTGATTTTTGAGCTGGCTTCCCCAGTAAAAGTCCCTTCCAGAAGGGGAAATTTCTTTCCATTTTCCTTTCAGGTACCCTCAGGATCTTGTATGTTTCAGTAAGATCACCTGTCATTCTGCTAAATGTCAATGGATAAATACCCAACTCATAGCACAGCCCCTTCAACCCAGAAATCAGTTGAGTAGATCTTCTGTGAACTAATTCTATTTTCTCCTTTGTTAAATAAGGAGACCAAAACTACACACAAGACCGTAGATGCGGGTTCACCAATCTTCTGTACAATTATAGCAAAACTCCCCAACTCTTGTATTCCATTTCCCTTGCAATAAACAACAACATTCCGTTTACCCTCGTAATCTCTTGCTGTATCTGCATACTAACTTTTGTGATTCATGCACCAGGAAACCTAGGTCCCTGAGTTTCGTAGAGTTCTGCAATTTCTCTCTATTTCAGTAAATGCTGCTTTTCTATTTTTCTTCCAAGGTGGGAAAGTTCACATTATCCCACCTTATACCCCTTTGGTAAACTTTTCCCCCACTCTCTGTCCATTTCAGACTCCTTATGTCCTTTTCACATCTTTCCCACCTACCTATATTTGTGTTATCATCAAATTTTAAGAGCCATTCGCTTGGCTCTTTCATGCAAGTCAATGAAGTTTGTGGGGGGAGCGGGCATGCCAGCAGCTGTACCAGGCATAGCAAAAAATGAGGTGTCAACTTGGTGAGTTACAAAACAGGATTACTTGCATGCCAAATAGCATTAGTGGCAACTGACAGCCAACAGGTGATGTCTCCGATAACATCTCATCCAGAAGTTAGCACTTTTAACAGTTCAGGTCCTTCTGGTACTAGTTCTTATTTGCTCATGGGATGTAAGTACTGCTGACTGGGTCAGCTGTTGTTGCCCATCCCTAACTGCCCTGAAGAAGATGGTGCTACTGCACCTTAACGTCAGTTTGGTTTTGTGTGCTCAAACCCTGAAATGTGATTTAAATCTGGAACTGTGTGACTCAGAGGCGAGAGTACTACCTTGTGAAAATTACAATGGGTAGCTGAATGGGTGCTAAATTCAATAACAGGGCAGTCTCTTTCACTATAAGCTGACACAGTGTGCCCCTTTTCACTTTGCATTTGACAATTCTGTCGAGGAGATGGCAGAGCTCTTTTTCAAATCTTGTACACACCTTTTTGTTGTCATCTGTTCTCCAGATTCCTCGGTCTGTGCATCCGTGGTATTGAAGAGAACAGCCGATCAAAAAGAGAGCGTTTACTCCAAGAGAATGAATGCATCATCAAAATTAATGACAACAATTTAATGGACAGAACGTTTGCTCAGTAAGTGTAACCATTCATTTCTGAAACCTTTTAAATATATGCACCCTATGAGTTCAGTGCAGAAGGCCATTCAGCTCCTTGAGCCCACTCCGCTGTTCAGTAGAATCGTGGCTGATCTAATTGTGGTCTCAATACACTTTCCTATTTACCTCCATTGCCCTTTTACTCTCATGCTTTCCTTGTGAGCTATGACTGTGCATGTGAGCCTCCTCAAAGCTTCTACTTTTTCAGCCAATATAACAGTTGGGAGGATGTAAATCTTACTTTTTATTAAAACATCTTTGGTGTGTGTGATGGATGAGAATTAGACAGTATACTCTCAAAAGTTGTTACTGCAATGGATTTTGTCATGTTTGATCCGATATCTTCAACAGAAAACAAAAACTGAACATGTCCCTTCCAAATTCCAATAATAATTCTCTTCTCATCCTCTCTTGTATACATCAAGCCACGCTTGAAATGCAGTTGCGCTCCCTCTTGTAATCCTTTGTTATGTCACAGTATTTTTTCATCAGATACATACTTACAATGCTGGTCTTGGAGATGGGTGTCTTTGTTTGTGATCCCAAGCACATTTGGATATGACAAAATATCGCCTAGTTAAAGTATGTAGGAATAGCAGTCAACCAATTCAGCTCCCTCAGTCATTTATGCCATTCAATTAGATCACGATTGTCCTGTATCTAAACTATATTTACTCAGCTTGCTTCTGTGATCATAGATTTCCATGCCAGGCAAGGGTATTGATCATTTTCAGTTTTGAAATTTTTCACCTGGTCCTCGACTACTTTTTGATTTCTACCATTTTCTGTGTGAAGAAGTGCTACCTGACATCATTCCTGAATGGCCTAGTTTTTTTTTAAAGGGAATGCCCCTTTGTTCTGTACACTTGCGCCCAAAGATTATTGTCTCTACCTTTCAACTCATCTTGAAGACTTTGTTTGGGGTATGCGAGCCAAATTAGTGCAGCTGTATTGTCCCCTTCGGAGAGATGGTGATACAATCATAATGTATCTTGAATCCAGAGACTGATGTTAATGCTTTGGAGAATGGGTTCCAATCCCACATGGTAGCTGGTGGAATTAATCTGGAATTGGAAGATCATCTCAATGATTGTGACCGTGAAACTATCTTCAATTGTTATAGAAACCCATCTGGTTCACTTTTATACAAGGAAATCTGCAAACTTTTCCTGATCTGGTCTTCCTGTGACTCCAGATCCACAGTAATTTAGCTGAGTCTTAACTGCCCTGTAAAATTGCCCTTCAGCAAACCACTGAGTTCATGAATATTTGAGGATGGGCAGCAAATGTTGACTTTTGGCAATTATCCCCACATCTCGTGAAAGAATTGGTAATAATTTAACCATTTTAGCTCATGTTATCAATCAAATTTGTAGAAACATTTCAAACTGTGTTGCCATACTTCAGTGGTATACTTAGGTCCATGCTGTGCCATAAACTGTGTTCAGCAGTCTCTGGCTATTGTACTTTATTTTTCAACTCTGCCATACGATGAAGTCCCAAAGCCAGAGGTGATGTGCTCATCGTTAGAAAGGGAAGAAAAATGTACAAGACAGACCACTGGGGCAGCACGGTGGCAAACTGTTAGCACTGCTGCTTCACAGTGCCAGGGACCCTGGTTTGATTCCCACTTTGGGTGACTTTCTATGTGGGTTTCCTCCGGGTGCTCCAGTTTTCTCCCACAGTCAAAGAAGTGCAGGTTAGGTGGATTGCCCATAAATTGCCCTGTGGTGTCCAGAGATGTGCATGTTAACTGGGTTAGCCATGGTTTAAAAACCCCGTGGAGGGTTGTGGAGATGGGGTGTAGTGTTGGGTCTGGGTGGGAGCCCCTTTTATAGGGTCACTGCGGACCCGATGGGCTGAATGGCCTCTTTCTGCACTTTAGGGATTCTATGATTCTATTCTGTGATTCTGCTGAATGCTACACTTGTGTACTTTCTAGCAATTGGCTCATAATCAGGACAAAATATTCTTCAACCCTACTGGAATGTAATTTCTGTCTAGATGGTGTGACATATGGGGAGGACATTCATATCAAGGGACAGAATGGGACATTTCAAATGCAAGAACTGTTTTGTTTGAATCTCAGGCCTTAATGATGCGGTTTAACTTCAGAATCCTGTCTTGAATTTCAGAGCACAGGAGGTGTTTCGAAATGCCATGCAGCTGCCTACAGTCCAGCTCCAGATAGTTCCAAATTATAACAGGGATCGTTATGAAAAATCTGCAATCGGACCCCTCACTGCTCACAGCCACGAAGACGATTCCAAAGCCACAGTTCCACCTCCATTGCGTTCAAAGCCAACCAGCAAACCAACAGATTTGGTTTATCCCAATAGCCCAGACAGCAATTCACCCTTGATTTCAACACAGATCAGCAGCCCCAAGCACTCGAGGAGCAACAGCCACTCAATAATGCCAAAGAAAACATCTTCACCAACATCCTTTGGGGGACTTGCGACCAAGAAACAAGGAAAAAAGATCAAAATCGATTTGAGAAAAGGTATTGTGTGTGTGTGTGTGTGTGTGTTGTGACCCAGATGGAAGTGCACTATTTTAATATGGGAAATACAGCAGTCAATTTATGTGTAGCAGCCCTTGCAAAGAGCAAGGTACAGATGTTGATTGAGGGATGAATAACTGCAAGGCAGGTCAGGGCTTCAGTTAACATCTCATCCAAAAGCAGCATGTTCCACAGTGTAACAGTCCTTCACTGCTGCTCTGGAATGTCAGCCTAGATTTTACATTCATGTCTTTGGACATGGACTTGACCCCACAACCATCCAATCATGCCTTTAAGAGGGAGAAATGCATTTTGTTGTGGTATATATATTACCGAAGGGTATCCAGAGCAGTCCTTGACCCATTCCATTAAATGCTATGGAGGAGCAGCTGTAGATATTTTTGATCAACCTGTTCAAACAAAAGAAAGACTGGGACTCTTTTTCACTGGAGTGTGGGAGGTTGAGAGGCGACCTTATTAAAGTTTATTAAAAAAAAAAGAGGGGTTAGGTTGGGTTAATGGTAGTTGTCTTTTCCCTAGAATGGGGGAATTTCAAGCCTAGGGGGCACATTTTTAAGGTGAGAGGAGAGACGTTCAAAAAAGATATGAAGTGTAAATGTTTTATACAGAGGGTGGTTTGCGTATGGAATGAACTTCCTAAGGAAGTGGTGGATGTGGGTACAATTACAATGTTTACAAGACATTGGATAAGTACACGAATAAGAAAGGTTTGGAGGGATATCAGCCAGGAGCAAGCAGGTGACTAGTTTAGCTTGGGATTATGTTTGGCATGGACTGGTTGGACCGAAGGGTCTGTTTCTATGCCATATGACTGTATGTTACGATACATATCTACAGCAGGTAGGACTTGAACCTAAGCCTTCTGGCCCAGAGGTAGGAATGCTACCACTGTGCCACGACCCTGAAGGTACAGCTATACATGTAACCAAGACTCCAAGATTGTTTTTGATGTGAATTGGATGTTCAACAGGATTACTTCTGCAGTAAAATGCAGTCATTGGGGACAGTTTTATAATGCAAATTATGTGAGTAAGATCGATTATGATCACTTATTACAGTATGGTCTCCAGATTGGAAGGGCAGCTACCAGAGTAATTTAGGTAGATATTTGTAGTATGTGCATATAAAGAAGATTTCTCATGCCTCTGTTCATTGAATTGAGTATGCACTTTTATAGTTTGTGCAATATACTCAACTAAGTGTGACAAGCAAAGTGTTGTACAAAATATGCTTGATACAGATTGCACATCATGGACAGGGTCAATACAGTGTGGTGCTGGAGGAACACAGGAGGTCAGGCTGCATCAGAGGAGCAGGAGAATCGACCCGAAACGTCGACTCTCATGCTCCTCTGATGCTGCCTGGGCTGCTGTGTTCCTCCAGCTCCACACTGTATTGACTCTGACTCCAGCATCTGCAGTTCTTGCTATCTCCGACATCATGGACAGGATTTTACACATGTTTTGGGATCAGAGTTCTCAAGGACTGCTCAGGTGAGCTGGGAAGGTTTTGGTTTCTAAACGTGAACAAGTATGCCTTTCATCCCATTCTGGTTATCACCTTGCGTTTTTGCATTACCTACACTATAATTCCTCCAAACACCCTCTCCTAGCAAAGGTTGTATGTTCCTCACCTTTTAACTCCCCTTCATCTTGTGGTTTCCAACTGAGCCCTGCTGTCACCTGTGCCTTCCAACTTCTGCCTTCTCTCCTATGTTTTTATTCTTGTCTCCCTGTCTATCTGTTTCTTCTTCAGCACCAGTTTATTGCCTCTCTTCACTCTTTTTCCTCTCTCTTCCTCGGAGAGCGTCTCATCGCTTGCCCTTCTCCATTCATTCCTTGCGATATTGTTAATTTAAAAAGATGCGTACATACACACACACATATAAGTGTGTCTCAATCTTCAGCTGAGCAATCTGTTTCTGTTTGTCTTCTGACAATAAGTTTCCAGAATAAGGTTATTTGGCAGAGGCTGGAAGTAACAGGTCAGGATAGGAAGAGGAAGCTGTGGAGATTGTAGAAAAGAAGTGGGAAAGAAAGAGCCGTGAGATAGAGAAAACCAGGTGGGCTGGGTCCTCCACCAAGTGGGCCTGGGTAGTGGTGATAGAAGAGGCACAAAGATGTTGTAGAATGAGGCAGAAAGGACAATAAAAGGTGGATGAGTTTGATAGGTGTAGAAAGAGTACAGAATGAGAGTACTGCTGCCGCAATAGGGTGAAGGGGGAAGGGGTCACAAACCCTGTCCAGTGATATAGGGAGAGCATGTGAAGGATGATGGACAGCACAAAGGCAGCAGAGTAGTTTATTTCCAAGAAATGAAAAGTCAAATGTCTTGTTTTACAGCAAGGGGAGTCTCCCCACATCAAAGACGTGTAGGTAGCAGTACTGACTGTGTTTTGCCATATGGGCAGAATTAATAAAAAAGTGTTTAGTGTTGCTTATTGAATAATGTTACACTTTTTATTGTTATACTTCTGAGACAGAATGTTGCGGGTGCAAATTTAACTCAAGGAATTTAGCATAAAGTCTACATTTTGACATTTTCTTGAATTATTGGGAGTGTTGCATATCAGAGATTTCTTTGAATAAAGCGTTAGAGTGAAGTCCCATAAGCACGCTTGGTAAACAAAAGATCCCAAAGCACTGATTTTGACAAGAACAGACACATATCCAGTGTCTTGGCTGATATTAATCCTTCAATCAACAGTGCTTTAAAAATAATATCTAATTATTAACACATTTGTGGGACCTTGTACGTAAATTGGTCGCCAGCTTCCTTCATGACAACAGTGACTACATTTATAAAGTGCTGCAAGGCTGCAAAATGCTGAGGATGTCCCCAAATTATGAAAGGCACTATTGAAATGCAAGTCTTTCTTTCCTTCATTTGGCAGTACGTCTTGGGTACTATGTGATATTATAAAGGTAACACCCAGGAGCTGCTGCAACAAGAATACTCAGAATTTTTCATATGTTGTCCAGACGCGCATAAATGCAAGATCCCAGAGTCAAAAGCAGCATGCTGATACTGACTTTTATGACATGTGGAATTACAGATTTTGTGCACAATTAAGTTGAAAAAATTCTCATTGAAGCTAAATTTCCCTGTTACAAGGAAGATAACTAAGTGTTCAGTCATTATAATGCAAACACTTGACATTATATGGAAAATGAACTGAGAGATGCTATGGAAACAAATGTTTTCCTTAAATGAACATTTCCCATTATCTAGGTGCCCATTAACTGGAGTGTACTGGGCATTGGAAATCAATTGGGGCCTGAGAAAATGTCCCTTTTGGAAATGAACATTCTCATTAACTGTTTTCAGCTGTCACTTCACTCCATAGCATGGGATCAGCATTTTATTTTGTGTGCGGATACATGAGTATGGCTAAGGTTGCTCATTATCTCAACTCTGTGTCATAATACATCGTTCACATAACGTTTCAAAGCACTAAGTCATTTCTTGATACTCCATATATAATGTGTGCATTGTTCAACTTTTACCTCACTTTGGGGAGCTATGCGATGAGAAATTGGGGTGACTTGCCCTTGGAGCTCCAAAACGTTGTCAGCTGCTGTGCACCCAGGGAGCGTGTGCCACGGCAGACACCAAATTGGTGAAGGTGTTAGAAGCAGAGTGAGCATCCATGAGGAGCCTGCAGAGCAGGGACTCCATGGAATCAGCCAGCAAGTGATGCTGATTTGAATGCCACTAATAACCATTTTGAAGCTTAAAGCTGCAGCTAATGTGCCCTCTTAGCCTCCTACAGCTGAACATAAGTTCATCAACAGGAAAGACACTGCACCCACCCTCATGAAAGGATCATCAGCCACTTACAGATTAGTTGCTGGTTGATTCTTCTACAAGTGATTGGTGCTTCAGCAGCTGAAAAAGTTTAGGTCTAACACACAGAATGTCCTGAATGTCTCCTGGGACTGAGACAGTTTACTTTTCAATAACCACAACATTCTTCTTTTGTGCTAAGTATGATGTGGCCAATGGTGGGCTCCCTCCTAATTCTTACTGGCCTTAAATTATTGAAGCTCCTTCACATCAGCGCCTCTAACTTTTGCACCTTTTGCGTGGACCTCCGAGGTCCAGCTAGAAGCAGCAGTTTCCAGAAGTGGAAGTCAAGGAATCCACATGGCGATCAGTATGTGAGGAACCTCCAACTGCTGCACAACTTTGAGGGAGCTGCTTGCTGATTGCTGCCATGCTCTACCAAATGCTGCCTTGATATTAAGGGCCCATCTAGTGGGGAAAAAGGACAAAGAACTGCAGATGCTGGAAATCAGAAACAAAATAGGAATTTGCTGGAAAAACTAGAAAGTAGAGTCAAAACTTTCTTTGCACAGGTGCTGTCAGACCTGAGTTTTTCCAGCAATTTCTCATTTGGCCTCTCAATTTTTTTTCTGGGAGGAGTGGTGCAATTGATTGTAAATTTATGGTAACATATTGCTGCCTTTCCTGTTCAATAAATAGTTTATCCAGTGACTTTTCTGTGATTTCTTCCAATGTCCAGGTCCAGAGGGTCTTGGTTTCACAGTAGTTACAAGAGAGTCATCTGTCCATGGACCTGGTCCGATCCTGGTGAAAAATATCCTGCAAAGAGGAGCAGCAGTAAAAGATGGTAGACTGCAGTCAGGAGACAGAATTCTGGAGGTAAAAAATGCATCTGTTTCTACATGATGAAAGCAAGATCTGGACGACAGAATCTATGTTCCAGTAACCAGCTACACAGATTTATTGATCTGTCCTTTCTTAATGCAGAATTTATGATGACCGAGAATTATTTGACATGTCATGCCTGTCATGCCGCACTTTAGTGATATTAAACACTCGCCTGTTTTTTTGTGCTAGATCGTCACAACAGCTGCTGCTACTTCGTAGTATTTTGCAGATGATGCAGATTATATTATCTATTTTAATGCCTGCTTCTTCGCATCTCCCTTCATGGAGTGTCATTCTCAGTTGAGAGCATATCATTGCAACTGACTCTTGCACTGTTGTGAATGAAAAGTTATTTACCTTCCCCTGTAGGGGAAGTATGCACTCAAACTCAACTCTTGACCAACCCTCACCCAACCCTCACCTGGCTCAGTTACTAAGTTAAAATGCAAGAGCAAAGTTATTGGACCGACGAAAATATCTTGTGTTTCTTTCACTTCCCAATTTTTCTGAGAACTTTTACTTATTAGCCATTAAAGGTTTGAAGGTGGGGCGAAAAAGACTTCTTGTTTGATAGTTAAGAATCATCCATTCATACACTGAAGAGTTTGTTGAATTGCCAACCAGCTCAACACGGAAAATTAGATGACCAATAGGAGCTTTGTGGGTGGGCATTTTAGAGGAAGAAGCTCATGGAATGAGTGCACGGACTGAATTTTACCAGATACTGGGTAAGTATCAATGTCAGGCAGTTTCATGGAGGGTCTTTGTGAGAGCCCAAATCAGTTTTATCACATTCTCTGCAACTTGCCTCGTTAGCTATGCACTGTGCCTCTAGGGCACCCCCTTCATGCTGTCTTCCCTCAATGACAGCAGTGGAAATAATCGCCATTGCCAGGGCCTCCAGGATTCCTGGTTCTAGTGCCAATAAATGTATTGCCTACGCAGGTTACCCATCTTAGTACATTCCATCTTAGAACCCTACCCTGTCCCCAATTCCCTTCATGTCAAAGGTCCCAGCTGAAGGTCCCTTCAGGATGTGCGGGAGGTTCAGGAGGCCCACAGTCTATTGTCCTTGATGTCATTTCCACCAGATGAGTGAGGCGCAGTTTATTGCTGGTCCTGCGCACGCCAGAGCATCTGTTCCTCTTCAATTTCTCTGTGCCTTTTTTGCACTGTAGCAACCCTTGCTGTGGCTGGCTCCTTCAAACATGTTTGCAAAGAATCTGTGTGGGGAATATGAGAAACTTGAGTTTTCAGCACTCACTCACAAATGCTGGTTTAAGATATTCTTCCATACAGTGGGACACGGAGGGCCATGGAATTTCTGCACATGGACGTTTGGTGTAGGAACCTTGTTCTGATGTATGCAGCAACAAGCCGTGTTACACGGATACAGCAGGAGGTTGTAAGTGTGGTAGGATTACTGACACCTTGTCCCTTCACTGCAATGTTGCCCAAGAAAGGTAGCTTTAAATATAAGGGCGTGTTAGTGAATATTTCGGGTTCAAGACGAGAGAAAAAAGAAAAACGGCTCAGTGTCTCTGTGCAGCCTATGAGATCTTGCACTGTCTTTGTTAAATGTGGCCCAGGGATGGCTGTTTTAAGATCACTGTGATGACCATCTTCAATATGCAATGACCAGTGATGTGGTCGAGATTGTGCTTGTGACCACGGTTTGTATCCCACGCATTTGGACAATCCACCCGTTTCACGTGCAGGGTGCTGTGGTTACAGATGTCTCCTAGTTGTACATTGCAAGTACATGATTAATTCAACTGTCCCTTGAACAGCCTCACAGGCAGAGCCAGCCCACCCAGACAAAACAAAACGCTCCAAATGCAGTCCCGGTCATGGTAATTAAGCCACCAACCCCATTCCCCATCCCACCACCACCACTACTACTACTACTACCACTACTACAGACATACATTGAACCTCCATGTTCCTTTCCCCCTTACACTCCGTAACAAGGCCATCAGTACTGTGCTTTCTCATGTTCCAAGACCTGGCTCTGAATTGTGATTCATTTCCCAACATTTCTGCCAAGCCCCAATCCTCCAACTTAGTTAGCCAGCACTGTCTCCCCATCAAAGCCAGGGTGGTTGTGGCCAGCAGTCTCACTTTTTCTCGCAGTACCCCAAGTGCTACAATACACTAGTGTCTCCCACCCTTATATGCTGTGTCCTCCCCGTGCCAATTATTGTCCCTACTACATTGCAGCATGCTCCCTCCAGTCCACAGAAGTGGCTTACCAACTCCGAGTCAATACAGTGTGGAGCTAGAGGAACACGGCAGGTCAGGCGTCAACTCCTGTAATGCTGCCTGACCTGCTGTGTCCCTCCAGACCCACTCTGTGTTGACTGTGACTCCAGCATGTGTAGTTCTTGTGACTTCCCAACTCCCCTACCAAAGCAGTGGAGGAATAGGACAATATTTATCAGTGAGGTGAAATCAGCTTCAAATACGCCTTGCACCACTCACTAATAAGATCTTTAAAAATTTATTCATGGTATGTTGGTGTCGCTGGCTAGGGCTGGCATCTGTTGTCCATCCCTAACCACCTAGATGGCGGTTAGGCATCAGGCATATTGCTGTGGGTCAGGAGTCATGTGTGGGCTAGATTAGGTAGGACAACAGTTTCCTTCCCTAAAGGGCATGAGGGAACCAGATGGGTTTTTCCTGATAATTGACAACAGTTCCAGTGTTAGGTTCTTAGTTCCATGGAGAAAGCAACAGGACAACAACAGGTAACTCCAAGCTCCCAGCTAATTTAAAAAAAAGACAAAGATTTGGACATAAATACATTGTCAGCAGCATTCTGCTTGGGGACTCCTCTTTCCTCACCCCTCCTGCTCTCTCTTGCCCTCCATACCCCCTTTTTCTGTTTAGTCCTCCCTTCTTTCTTTTAGAAGGATTGAATCCCTACCGTGCAGAACGAGACTATTCGGCCAACCCAGTCTGCACTGACCCACCGAAGAGCATTCCACCCAGACCCAGCTCCCCACCATGTCCCCATCACCCCACATTTACTGTGGCTAATCCATCTAACCTGCACATCTTTGGACCATGGGAGGAAACCAGAGAACCCAGAGGAAACCCATGCAAACACGGAGAACTTGCAAACTCCACGCGGACAGTCACCCAAGGCTGGAATCGAGCCAGGGCTTCTGAGCCGTGAGGCAGCAGTGCTAACCACTGAGTCACTGTGCCACCCTTTTGGCCCCTCCCCTTCTCCCTTTTGGCCCCTCCCCTTCTCCCTTTTGGCCCCT